CGCTAACATTATAAATCCTTTCAATGCATCAGTTTTGGTTAAATAAAACTGAAATTAAGAATTAAAAGAAATCATTAGAAATGATATTAACATGACAATTGACGCATTGAAATAACCAAATATGCAGCGGCAGAACGCCAACTATAATAATAATGACAACTATTATTTCAAAAGAATGTATAAATCAAAATAAATATCTTGCAACGAATATGTGATCATAATCAAGGTATAAAATATCGATGATATCGGAAATATCGGTAGTCCAAAAACACGGAAATATCGATGGAAATATCGGGATATTATCAATATCGATAAAAATTGAATAAAAAACCACAAAAATTATAAGAAAAACTTGGAAATTTTTATTGAAACTTTGCAGGATGTTTATTTAGTCAATTATCTATTAGTTTATCACAAAAAATTGGAAGGAAATGCATTGCATGATGGATTTAACTGATTTAAGTTGATTGTATAGCGAGCTGGCAAACATTGTGAGTGTAGAAAATATGTAGTAATTAATGAAAGAAGTTTAAACACACCATAATCATTTATATATAATGAATTAGTACAATATTTTACACTTTATACATTGCATGGTAAGATACATGAGTGACTTAGTATCACATAGAGTTCCTATGAGGTTCAAATTTTTCACTATCTTCATCATCTCTATGTGTAGAGTAAGTGTATTGTGAAGAGTAGTTATCAAATGATAAATCCCCAAAATAGTTTTGCATGTAATTGTTAACATGCCACCCATATGGATCCGAGATTGGTTGACGTTGTCCATAAGCAAAATCATTTGAAGATTGAGTCTCGGATTCTTTCCATGAGTCGCTCGATTCCATCCTAACAGGAATGGGATATGAATGGTAGCGAAATGGTTGGTTATGAGTATAACCATAGTTACTACTTCCCACTCCAACAGAGTTCGAAGTTATAGATAACGAGTCATCTTCTTGACTTGACAAAATCCCCTTGCCTCTTTCTCTACGAGTATAGTCCTTCCCTATGCACCAATTCCTGGTCCTGCCCGCCTACTGCCATGGTCCTCATCCTGTGTTGCATGTGTGAAGTTTGCCTCACCAGTGAAGGGGCTCATAAATCCGGGAGGCGGTCCAACATAATTTCTATATCCACCACTACCTCCACCTCCACTATATCCTTCACCACTACCTCCAGCTCCACCTCTCGTGGTAGGTGAGTCTCCTGATCTTGTAGTAGAGCTATCATTAGTATCAGCATGATCTTGTGGTTGTGTAGGATTGGAAGAAGGTGGAATTCCAGTGTTTCGTGGTCTTTGGCGCAAAAGTTCTTCCAAAGAGTCAGCGCTGCTAGATCCCACCTCCTCTTCTAATACTCTTTCTACATTTATCCTTTCATTACGTGCTTCTTCAGCAACTCTGGGAGTTGGGTTGTCCTCATCATCATCTAAATGAAAAGGTCTAATCCATTGATAAAGTTGGTTACCCTCTGTATCATCATCTTCAGCAACAATATCAAACACATCTTCTGCTTCCTTATCTCGAATTTGAAGCTTCATGTTGTAGTAGCAATAAACTAATTTTTCCAACCTACTATGAGCCAACCTATTTCTTTGCTTTATGTGTATGAGTGCAAATGTACTCCAATTTCTTTCACAAGCAGATAAGGAAGCTGTTTGTGATAATACTTTGATTGCTAACTTTCTCACAATTGGTGCATCAGTCCCATACATGATCCACCATTCAGCTATAATGAAAAACAATGTTGATAAGCCTAATAACTCCAACAAATTCTATTATAAATTGATAGTGAAATATGTTTACACTCACTAGGAGACATTTTTGTTAGAGCAAAAACTGATGTTGGTTCTCCAAAAGTTCTTCTTCCATCTTTAAACCATGTTAGCTGAATTCAATAAATCGTGTTAGTTTAATCCAACAATGTAATTATTATAATTTAAGTAATTTTGTACCTCATTTCCAAATTGGCCAACTGTTAGTGATGCAGGGTCTAATTTAGAGTATACATTATGTACAACACGTATAAGGCTACCATCATCTCCAACACCGGGTCTGTATTGGTATCGAGGATTCAAATAATATGATGTTCAAAGAAACACATACTCTAATAAGAGAAATAATACTTATGCAACTAAAGAAATGAATTGCAAATTATGACATAATTTATACCTGCTGCATGCAAATCGTGGTATAATGTTTTATACCATCGGTCATCAATTATCTTTATGACCCACCTTGCACCATGTTTTCTTTCCAAGTCATCCTTCACTACACGCATCAACTCATATATTGCCCCCATAGTAGGATACACTTCTGTGTCAATGATCCATAAAACTTTGTAAAGAGATTCAAACACTTGGCACACATGTTCTGATTGAGTCTAAAAAGCATGATCAAGCACTATACTTTCCACCATACGACCTACATTTGAGCGGCTTAAATTGTGGTTGGCCCAACGTCACTAGTGAATAATTGCTTCAACCCTGGTTTCTTCTTAAATAGGTTGTCGAATGCAATATAGTTGGTGGCGAATCGAGTGGTAGCTGGACGAATAATTTATCCTTTGCAAAATTCACGCATCTTTGCCAACAACCAACCGTGATTGTAAATATAATTTGTGATTGTTCTAGCTCTTTTTACGATAGTAGCAATATTCTCTCTCTTCCTCATTGCCTCAAATATGAGATCAATACAATGTGCTGCACATGATGTCCAAAACACATTATGATGCTTCATTAACTTTTTTCCAGCTTTGACAAATGCAGAACCATTGTCGGTCACGATTTGGACAACATTATACTCTCCCACCTCCATGATTACATCCCTCAATAATTTGTAAATATACTTATAGTTCTTTATATGGTCTGAAGCATCAACAGACTTCAAAAAAATTGTCTTTCACTTGAAGTATACCATGAAGTTTATGATAGATAATCTGGTCGGGCCAGTCCATCCATCACACATGATTGTGCAACCATTATTTTCCCACTTTGACCTCAACTTGTTAACATACTCGCCAATGTCTTTATACTCCATTTCCAAATATTTGTTTCTTACCTCATAGGGAGTGGGAGGTTGTACTCCAACACCGGCCTATTGACATCCCAGTACCATATTTTTGAAATGATGTGATGATACCTTCTCAGCAGGGACATTTTCATAGATAAAGAACTTGCTAATTAGACGCCCCATTCCCTCCTTCACATTACCTTCAGTGAAATAACTCCAAACACTCTTTTGACATGCTTTGGATGACTTATATAAACTTGGGGCTATTGGTGGTGTTGGTTGTGATTCTCTAACACTTGCTCCCCGTCTCATTTATGCACCACCACTTGTCCCGGAACCTTGTGCTCTATTAGGAATTTTATGAAGGTGTTCTCTTTCCCATGCTGATTGTTTGAAGGCACATAATGCTTGTTTGAAACTGCGTCGTTCTTCAGGTCCCATGTCATCATCACATTCGTCCTCATCGTCATCATCATCACTGTCAACCGCTTGGCCAATGACTTCTCCTCGTAGCCCAGCTCGAATATTTTCCATTCCATGTGTTATCTTTTCCTTATGTTGTTTTTTATTTTTTAATAATGTGGTGATGAATGCCTTCACTTCTAGGGGGACATTATCGCATCGTTGGACATTATTTCCTGGATCTAATCCACTAAGATGGTACTTAAGTCGTGTCACTCCGCCACTCTTCATTACCCGACCACAATATTTGCAAATTGTACCATGTTTGTTTCCCTCTATTGGGTATCCATGTTCCCAAGCTAGATCACATTTAGTAACTCCACTGGACATCTTAAACGTACCTATATTTATTTTTCATGAAAATTAGGCAATTATTTTTTGGCCAAAAAATATAGTAGTGACGGAAACATATTAAATATGAAGTAAAGAAAATAGGAAGTAAAATTATTCTACAGAAGAATTAAATAGGAAGTAAAGAAAATGATTATAAGAATTTAAGTAATTATAAAAATAATATGGAATAATAAAACCTAATAATAATGAATAATAATCCAATTTGGTAATAAAATAATAAATAACATTAAACATATTAAAATTATTCTAGGGAATAATTATACAACATTACTTAATTACTTCAAAAAATTAACATGCAAGTATTTTTTGGTTCTTAGATCACATGCACAGGTCCACACAAATTTTTTGTTGTTGTATAAATTACAATAATATAAATATAAGTTTGTAAACTTACCTTAAATATGGAACCCTTTGTGTAAAGGCCAAATAGAATCTGCATGGAGCAACAATAAAATAATAATTACACAAATGTAACAAATCTCGAACTTTCGATGTCGTACGTAGCAGCAAAACCTCGACGATCCTCTGCAGCTTGTTGTCTGTGAATAAATGAGAGAGAAAGAAGGTATTAACATTTAATTTGGAGTGGCGCGAGCTGCAGATCCATTTATTCAATTTGAAGCTTTGAAATGGCTCTAGAATGGATCTGGAATGGCTCTGAAAGGGCTAAGGGAAGAAGAAGAAACGAAAAGGTGTAATAGAGGTTTTTCAATTTTCGAAGGGTCAAAAAATGTGTGATGATTTGATACTCCACCTTTGAGAATGTGAAAGAATATCACGCGTGGCACACAGTTTTGAATCTTTATGAAACCACCATTATTTTTGTCTTGTCAAAAATTGTACAAGTTGTAAAAGTTGTTAGGGTTTTGAATTATTTGGATACTCTTTTTTCTCACATGCACGCCACCCACCACACACAAACAGAGAGAGTCAAAGACTCTCACATCACACGCCACCACATGCACATAGACCACACACGCACACAGAGACCTCAGTCTCTCTCTCAATCCTTCTCTCTTCTCCCTTCAGTCTCTCTCTCTCTGGATCCTTCTCTCTTCTCCCTTCTCCCTTCTCCCACACACACACACACACAGATCTCTCGATCCTTCTCTATTCCCCCTTTTCCCATACACAAGCACAGAGACCTCAGTCTCTCGATCCTTCTCCCACATGGCCTTCTGCTCCTCCCTCGCCTTCCTCCTCGTCCGCGTCTTCCGCCTCGTCGGCGCCGTCTCCATCTCCCGTGACCTCTACACCCTCTACCCCCATCGTAGTACTCCGTCAACGGCATCATCATCAACATCTAAACCGCATCTTTCTCTCCCTTTCTCTCGGTGCATGCAGCTAGGACACTGGAACCCAAGAACTCTCCGGCAAGGCCGTGAGTGTCGAGGAACTTTCCGAACACCTCCGACCGTTTCACGGCAAACGGAAATTATAAAAATATTCCTTTTGTCTTCTATTTCATTTTGATACCTAGATCGGAGTCTAGGGTGCTCTTTTACAGTCGGCCGGAGCTGTAGAAGCTCCGGCGTTCTTCTCCGATTCGCACCAGCCTCAAATATCGTGATATTATCGGTAATATCGCGATATTTGGACAATTTTTCAGTGGATACGTGTGAAAATATCGGTGTCTCACAAAAACGATAATATCAACGATATTTCGCCGATATTATCGATATTTTGGTCCTTGATCATAATCAAATCATTAAGACAATATGCTCTACAACGTAACTTTATAAAACAACATCCTACCTTACCTTGTACTCGGAACAGACAACTGGTTATGTATGTTAGTGGTTACGGTAAGAAAGATAAATACTTTGGATTTGTTAAAAAAAAAAAAAAAAAAAAAAAAAAAAGACACCTCCAAAAACACTTTGGAGAAATGACAAGCAAGATCACCATCACCCCTCCTTGCCGACATAGATAATAGTTGTGCGGAGATCAAGCGACATAGAAGTAGCTTCCAAATCTACTCTTAAGATTAGGGGTGGGTTCAAAAAACCGAAAACCGAAAAAAACCGAACCGAAACCCGAACCGAGACTGAAAAAAACCGAATCGAAAGTGTAAAACCGGACCAAACCGAATGTGGTTCAGTTCGGTTCAGTTTCTGGGGTTCGGAAACCGGACCGAACCGATTAATAGGCAAAACGACGTCGTTCAGCTTCAGTTCACTCTCTCTTCACTTCAGTCTGAAAGACTGAAACCCTAAACATATCGATTCCCTTCCCTTTCCCTTATCGACGCCTCCCTCTCCTCTATACTCTCACTCTAGACCATCTCCTCCCAGCTCCGCCGCTCTTCCGCTTCGTCTTCTTCCTTCCCAGTGATATTCCTGAGCAAACACACCGCCGTCTCCAACCGGCCGGCACTGACGGCACACCCGATCGGAATCCCTCATCTGAGTGAAGGCGAGGCTGGGCCGCAAGGCGGGAAGCCGGGTTGGGCTGCGCCGCCGAGCCCCCGCATTGGACCCTGGCTCAGGCACCTGAGGAAGCTTGCCCAAGCCCACAACATGGTTCCTGAGTTCGAGGTTTCCTTCTCACTCTCTTGATCTCCGTTTTTAATGCTCGTCATATGTTTGTGTAAATGTGTGTGTAAATGTGTGTGTGTGAGTCTGAGTCTGTGTGTTCATAATTTATACCGTTGTGTATGTTTGAATGTGGATTACATTGGAGGGTACGCATCATGGACCGGTAACGAATACGCCCACTATGTTCGTAGAGATTGGTGAGTTTTTGATGAACCCCGTTGCTCTTATGCTTTTCATTCTGGAATTACATTGCATGATGCTATTTGTTCTTTTTGTTGGAAGGGAAAATTATACATATTTCCATTGCGCGGCATGAATTTTTACTTTCCTCCAATGCGTTTTTAGTAATCTTATGAACATTTTTTTTATACCTTTTGATGATCAGTTCGTAGAATTGATTTATTTCGTTCAAAGGGTAAAGTTTACTGCTTCTGCTATTTCTATTGTTGTAACTGCTCGGTCTGAAGTTTCGGCATATGACATGGTTTTTCGTATTTTTTACCATGCACTTGAGGGTTTCTTTGTTTTTTTTTATTTGTTCCTTCTGGTTGATATAGGCAGTACAGATGAGTACTGGAAAAGGCAGGATGCAGCACAAGTTATTGCTCTAGTTAAGTACACAGTTAACCATTTCAATCATTTGAGCAAGAGTCATTGATACGTCCTATTGTTGAATAAATACTTTCCTCTTCGTAATGTTTCTAGTTTTCCCTGATCTTAAAAAAATAATAGAATAAACAACTCATGAGAGTAAATTGGTGGCAATTTCTGTTCTTGCAGTTGGTTTGGGAAGGACTTGGGCTTGGAGGAGGAGCTGCTGTTGGAAACTGGAACGGGTATATTGATTTTCTTGAAAAGCTCATGTCTTTGTTTGCAATTTTAACCAAAGTTTGATGCTTCTCTAACTTCATTTTCTATATTATTGGCGATCTAGGGAGAAGGATAAGAATAAAATTCTTCTTGGATTAGGTGGTGGACATTATGCTCCTCGGCATATGGATATAGTCTTGTAAGTTATAGCATTTTACAGTTTGCTCATATCCAGCTTTATTCTTTGTTTCCTTCTTTGCACGCTTGCTTTACATCATGTTCTTTTTTTTTTTTTATTTGTATGTAGAAATGGCAAGGGAAAGCTCAAAGAAAGGTGCTATGTTGCCTCCTAAGCCGCCTATGCGTTGAGCTTGAGCTTGAAGACTTGGAAGATTTTATTTGTGCAAAACATGAAGTGATGAAACCTTGAAGGTTTATTTGACTTGTGTGATGTTTAAATTTGGACTTTTTGAAGACTTAAACTTTGATGTTTAATTTGGACTTTTTGAAGACTTAAACTTGATTGATGATTGATTCTATTTCTAGTTGGACTTTAAATGTTTATTTTCATTTTTTGAAGACTTTTAGTTTTATGAGACTTTATGTTTTTAGATTAATTAGTAAGTAGTAACTTCCCTCATGAATATTGAAAAACCGTCCTGGAGAGATGGAAACATGTCATATTTTCTATTTCTATCTTATGTTGTGGTTGTTTTGCATTTTTTGGAGGAAAAAAAAAAAAAAAAAAACTGAAACAAAACCCGAACCGAAAAAAAAACCGAACCAAAAAAAATATGGGCCGAACCGAACTGAACCGAAATTTCGGTTTGGTTTCGGTTTTGGCAAAAAACTGAACCGATAAGAACCAAACCCAGCCCTACTTAAGATTGTTGGAAATATAGGTGATTTGAATGCTACTTCTCCTACAATAAATCATATAAGATAAATATATTAGTAAATATTGTTTCGCATCAAAATAATAAAATAGATCAAACTAATCTAATAACAACAAAATACTTATCTTTTGTAATGTAGAAATCTTTCTTCATAGATAGTTATTAAAACAAGATTTTAGGTTGAGGCATGTTAGTTTACTGTCCCTAAGAGTAGATTTCGTCTCGCAGAGACAATGTCTCGGTGTAATACAAGTTATGGCACCCTATTCTTCAAGATATAACAACCTATGATCATTGTAAACGTACACTTGCCACACTTGAATCAAATAAATAACTCAATTTTTCCATTGGTACAAAACAATTGAATGATATAGCCACACTTAGAAAACAGAGGGATTCGATTAGGTAATAGAGATGATGATCTTGTATATATGATCCCAAAAAAGACTCACGGCTGCCCATATATAGTAAAGTCTGAGCCCCAAAAACCTGTGTACAATCATGGCAATGAAAACAAATTAAATCAAATGATTGCAACGTTATTTATTCAAATCACAGTTAACCAATACGTTAAAACCAAATTCATGTAACTGAAGGATTTTGTTCTCATCTAACTTGAAAATAACAGTAAGTAAAAACCAATTCTAATGCCATGTCCAAACTAGACCTGACAAACGGGTCGTGTCTGTCGTGTTCGTGTTATTTTCGTGTAACACTTGTTATCTTAACGGGTCGTGTCGTGTCACACCTGTTATCTTAACAGGTCCTTAACAGGTCGGGTCACTTTACCCAACGAGTAAAGTGACTTGACCCGTTATGATCCGTTATGACCCGTTAAGAAAAATATATTTTTTCTTAAATTTGCACATACTACACTTTGCCACATAAATATTACTTCAAAACATTAAAACACATAATTTAATATATATATATATATATATATATAATTATATATAATTATTTTAGTTTTTAGGGGTATAAAATTGTTAAATTAATATATATAATTATTATAGTTTATTCATACTTTCATTAAGTATAACATAAATTTTGTGGTATCCACTAGTGTAATTTTTTAAATTGAAGATCGAATTCATTCATTGTATTCATATAGGGTCAAGGAGTGTAGCTATAAAAAATCATCAAAATCAGAGTTAAAATAACCGTTAAATCTTGATTTTTAGTTTTATAACCGTCGAAAAGTTTTGTCTCGTTACTTGATCTCTGAATGTTTGTTTTTTACAATTTTTGGCATATGCGATCTCGAAGTATATACAAACATGTTTGACGGTTGGATCGTTGAAACAAGTTTCGTAGAATGTATCCCATCAAAACAATAGATTCATTAACACTTAAGAGTTTATTCGCACTTTCATTAAGTATAACATAAGATTTTGTGGTATCCATTAGTGTAAATATTTTAAATTGAAGATTGAATTCATTCATTGTGTTGATGCACAAAATCAGTGAGGACTTTGGTATAACATAAAGTGTTAAGTTTGTGACCTTCACTAGATTGCTCCGGTCACTAGTGTAGATAAGTATGCAAATGGATAGAGACAAGGAAGCAAACACAAGATGTATGTGGTTCACCCAGATTGGCTACGTCCACGGAGTAGAGGAGTTCTCATTAATTGTGAAGGGTTTACACAAGTACATGGGTTCAAACTATCCTTTAGTGAGTACTAGTGAATGATTTAGTACAAATGACATTAGGAAATATTATGAGAGAATGATCTCTATTTATAGAAGAGAGTTTCTAGTTTTATTCTGACATTGGCACGTGTTGTGTTGTGATTGGCTTCTGATGTTAACACATGTTGCGTTATGATTGGCTTCTGATGTCGACACGTGTCGCACTGTGATTGGCCTCCTGGTTAGAAGGAAACTCTTCTGAGTCCTTGACGGTATAACGTTGACCGATGCTCAATAGTTTCGGGATTGGCCAAGTATGGTACAAACAGTGCTCCCCTAAGTTCTCGAGTGAGGGAAACTCCTCGGTTGGGGACTTGCAAGATCCAAGCCATTGAGTAATCACGAAACTTCTAAGTACCGAAGTGTGGTATCATTTTCACTTGCCTTATCTGTCTCATATGTAGATGTGGCATCTTCTCTGGAAGTACTTTTCCTCCATCCAGGAATGGTATCTTTAACCGATGAAGATGCACAAGGTAATGTATCAATTTCACTTGAAGCTTACTTGTAGTTTCGAGCTTGGTCAAGTGCGATACAAACCCTATAGTAAGAGTCCCCCAAGTCGCCGAGCTAGGAGATTTGCTGAATGAGGTAACAGACAAGGTAAGCAATCAGACTTCCAAGCAAGCAACCTGGATCAAAGGTTCGACTTCGGCTTCCGGTTGATTGTTCTCCTTCTCTTTGTGTCGTAAATAACACCAAGGATAAGCAGAAGCAAATGGAGAAGAGATGATATGAGATACTTTTTCTTTTGAAGAAGTAACTTTCCACATGCTTATTTTTGAACTGGGCTGGAGGGTTTTCTGGTTTCCTCCAGAGTATAAGGCTGACTCAAGAATTTGAGGGTCAAAACAAGTCCATCAAATCTAGAGTACGTTCGACCCTGATGATATGGGATACTTTTGGTATTGACAAAGTAGTGGATGTATCGGCACATGTTATGTTACGCTTGTCTCCACATGCTTCCTTGTATCCTTCTTACTTGCCCTATCTGTTCCTCAGGCAGATGTGGTATCTTCTCTGGAAGCATAAGATGTTGAAGATGAGTACTCGAGAGCAATGCCAAGTAAGTAATCAGGCAAGGGGTTCCAGGCAGTCAGTTCCTGACTAGAAGCTTGATTCCAAGTGCTGACTGATTGCTCTCTTTCGTAAAATGCGTATCCCATCAAAACAATAGATTCACTAACATTTAAAAGTTTATTCATAATTTCATTAAGTATAACATAAATGTAAATATTTTAAATTGAAGATCGAATTCATTCATTGTATTCATATAAGGTCAAGGAGTGTAGCTGTAAAAAATCATCAAAATCGAAGTTAAAATAACCGTTAAATCGTGATTTTTCTTTTTATAACGGTCGAAAGTTTTGTCCCGTTACTTGATCTTTATATGTTTTTTTTTGGGTAAAAGACTGTTTACTACCCTCATGTTTCATGGTTTTCAACATTTAGTACATCAAGTTTTTTTCGTCTCAGAGTCATACCTAAAGTGTAAATTTTGGGACAGTCTCATACATCCGTTAGTCAAACTGTTAAATTTACTGTTAATTGTGACGTGGCGTCCATGTGGACAATGACGTGGCGCCACGTGTCAGCCACGTTTTTTTTTTCTTTCTTTCTTTCTTCTTCTTCTTCTTCTTCTTCTTCTTCCACCCGACTGCAAACTTTTTTTTTTTTCTTCCTCCTTCTCCTTCTTCCTTCCTCCTTCTTCCTTCCCCTTCTTCTCCTTCTTCCTTCTTCTTCCTTCTCCTTCTCCTTTTTCTTCCTCCGAATCTGGGGATTTTTTTTTTTCTCTTTCTTCTTCTTCTTTCTTCTTTCTTCTTCTTCTTCTTCTTCTTCTTCCACCCGACTGCAAACTTTTTTTTTTCTTCCTCCTTCTCCTTCTTCCTTCCTCCTTCTTCATTCCCCTTCTTCTCCTTCTTCCTTCTTCTTCCTTCTCCTTCTCCTTCTCCTTTTTCTTCCTCCGAATCTGGGGATTTTTTTTTTCTCTTTCTTCTTCTTCTTTCTTCTTCTTCTTCTTCTTCCACCCGACTGCAAACTTTTTTTTTTCCTTCCTCCTTCTCCTTCTTCCTTCCCCTTCTTCTCCTTCTTCCTTCTTCTTCCTTCTCCTTCTCCTTTTTCTTCCTCCGAATCTGGGGAATTTTTTTTTTCCTGCTTCCTTCTCCTTCCTCCTTATTCCTTCTTCTTCTTCCTCCGAATCTGCCCAGATTCGTTTTTTTTTTTTTTCCTTCTTTCTTCTTCTTCCTCCTTCTTCCTTCTTCCTTCTTCCTTCTTCCTTCCCCTTCTTCCTTCCCCTTCTCCTTCTTTTTCTTCTTCTTTTTCTTCTTTTTCTTCTTCTTCCTCCGAATCTAGGGAAGTTTTTTTTTTTTTTTTTTTTCTTCTTCTTCCTCCTTCTTCCTCCTTCTTCCTTCTCCTTCCTCCTTCCTCCTTCTTCCTTCCTCTTCTTCTTCTTCCTCCGAATCTACCCAGATTCGGCTTTTTTTTTTTTCTTCTTTCTTCTTCTTTCTTCTTCTATATCCTTCGACTGCAACTTTTTTCTTTTCTTTTCTTCCTTCCTTCTTCTTCTTCCTCCTTCTTCTTCCTCTTCCTCAAAAAAAAAAAAAAAAAAAAAAAAAAACCGAATCTGGGCAGATTCGGAGGAAGAAGAAGAAAAAAAAAAAAACCGAATCTGGGTAGATTCGGAGGAAGAAGAAGAAGAAGAAGAAGAGGAAGGAAGAAGGAGGAAGAAGGAGGAAGAAAAAAAAAACTTCCCCAGATTCGGAGGAAGAGAAGGAAGAAGGAGAAGAAGGGGAAGGAAGGAGAAGGAGGAAGGAAAAAAAAATGTTGCAGTCGGGTGGAAGAAGAAGAAGAAAAGAAGAAAGAAAAAAAAAATCGTGGCTGACACGTGGCGCCCAGTCATTGTCCACATGGGCGCCACGTCACAATTAACGGCAAATTTAACAGTTTGACTAACGGATGTATGAGATTGTCCCAAAATTTACACTTTAGGTA